TATTTTTTGATATCGGCGCTCCTTCTGGCGTACCTGTAGTGAAATGACAGCAGGAATATCTCCTTTAGGGATAAAAGAGCATATTCCTGTGCAAATGCAGCAGACTCTGCAGAGAGCAGCGGCCCGATAGACCTTTCCAAATATCATCACTTTTATACTGGAAAAGCATCATCACCATGCGTCATACCAAGTGGTGCAGACCACTTCCATCGTCCACAGCATTCTTTTTGACTGCAGTGTCACGAATTCTGAATGCACGAAACTGTCACACAACGAACTGATTATTCCACAGTTCCGATACGTTTGAATACTGACTTACGAAAGCGAACCTTGCATCTCAAGTGCCAAGCTTACGTATTTATAAAGCCAGCACAACGCGAAAACAATGCCATGTGTGACCGCTGTGAGCATTATATTTAAATGGAGTATGACGTTCGAATGGATGAAGCATTCTGAGCATTTGTAACAGTCTCAGCCTGTACTGTGTCTAAATTGTTTCGTTCTCCGTGCCATTTCATGGTTCGCATTCAAAATGGCCTCTCAACTACTAGTACGACATGATGAGTGGTACGCCAGAAGACGAAAATGGAGAGAAGAGTTACGTGAGAGAGCTTTGTCTTTTGGATTTGTGATCATTTTGGTTCATTTTCGGTGTTCTTGGCCTTAAATCTAGAAGGGTGCTCAAAATTCACGATTCTCAGTTCCGTACACATATGGCAATAAATAATTCCAAAATAAATAGGAAACGGAACGAAATTGATCAGTACAATATCAAGACAATATTGAGGAACATGTGTACATTTGCTATGAACATATCAGTGGTTCTCAAGCTCTTACTCTCCGTGCCCCGCTTGCAGACCGTCATTCCCCCGAAAAAACTCAGTTAAACCACAATTCTTCCCCCGCGTCTGATGCGGCATTGAATGTTGGTGTGAATTCATAAGAAATACCAAAACATCCGATTATCAACAGGTTTGTTGCCGACCCATTAAATCGTTACATCGAACGGGTCGATTTTTTGTGGTTAAATAAACATTTTGTAAACATTATTAGACATCTACGAAAGAATTGTGACAAAAAAACAAGAAATAATAATCTGCAATCCTCCTCATTTCTCTGTGGTACCCTCAAACATTACGTAATCTTTGAGATTAAACAAACACCCTTGCCCCATCCTCCTCTGAGAACCACTAATAAATATGGAATATCATAAAACCAAACCAGAATCATTGAACTGAAATGAACATATCTAATCAACTAGACTGTAGTAAATAATCCTCACATAGAATAAATACATTTGGCATGGATCACTACCGAGCAGTTTGTGGGTTGTTTTTATCGTTTCAGTTATGGAAGTTACATATCGAAGAGATTGAGAAGTCATCGACTATGGATCGATCACAATGCATGCATCACATTATTTAGACTTTGTACATTTCATCTGCTACATTTTCACAAAGAGTGCTGTTCGATTCACTCACTCAGATCACAATTTCCACCGAACACAAACATTTCACTTATGATGACCGATGAAAATACCTACTTTTATACGTTTATTTGCTCACTCATAACTCAATCACACTCAGTGGTTAATGGTTTTGTTCACTGGCATCTTGATCTGTGTTGTTGATTTCTTTGAGCTAAAACTAAGCCCCAAAATTTGCACCAGGAATCCAACCTATTCAACGGATTCGATTCGAAAATGCAGCATCAGTATAAAAGAAAAGTGACTTGTAAATGACAATAAAAGAAGGAAAGTACAAACAGATTAATGAATATTGTGTACACAAACTAACTGAGTGCGACAGAAGTAGTGATGAAAATGAATTTCATTATAATAATAAAGTGAAAAGCAGACTTATTGATGAATTTCTAAGACAACAACTTGTATCCAACCCATTTCACTTTTCGTGGTCAGCTGGCAGAAGAGTGCTGTTCCAATTAATTTCAGCGTTTACCTATCATTGCAACCGGTGGTGTTGACGAGAAAACCTTAAGTTAAACTATCGCTAGGTTGCGTTGATATAATAGTAACTGTAGAGTTGGAGTGTCATAAAATCAAAACGATTAAGGATAAACGAACCCATTCGCAACTCAATAAAACCCATCATCATCGTATGAATAACCGGAACGTGCCCAACCAATATATTTGGATGGACGGACGATTTGTTGTAGATTGGGTAAGTAATCGAATTGATGATTTGTATTGAAACCGTTGAGCTTATAGGTTGCTTTTGATTTGCTGAGAGTGTATGATGATGGTTGGTGGTTGGGAGTGGTTGTGTTAGGCTTCAGTAGATCTTGTTTTGATTTGATAACAGCTCTGTGACGAATGTTGCTATTGCGATTGTTTGGTGAGTATGATGAATCATCCGCTGAACGCTCTACATACTCAAGTGTGTAGTTTGCTCCACAATTACTATCCCAATGGGATGTTCCGTTCACTGTGTAACGAATACAAAATTGACATTTGGTACCCACCTGAAATTAATTTCGGTTGGTTCGTAAAAGCGACGCTATCGATTCATTCAACGAAAGCTGCAACTTCGAAGAGGGAGCGAAGTTGTTCATTATGATCAAATATTGAAAAAAGTCACGAATTCCATTATGCACATTACTAAGTAAGTAAGTTTTTCTAACTACTCCAATATCAACTCTTTAGCCTTTTCTAAAAATTTACCCTATAGAAACGGAGCACTCCTTTTCATCTTTCAAAGAATGCTTGTTTTGATTTGACAAAGTGGTGAGTTGACCACTGGATAGATAGCAATAGTACGTTTAGGTCATTCAACTAACTGATGACGATTTATTTCATTCACCTTTTTTGATTCAACCAAATCCTCTATAAAAATTGCAAGATTTAGTGTAGCAGTTGAACAGTTGTATTGGAGTTTCGATAAAATTCAACTGATAATGTAAGAACTGACAGGCAAATTTGCGGGAAATGAGACGAAGAATGAGAAGGCATCAACAGCACCATCATTGCCGATCGACTGCATATAGATGGCGTGTATTTCTAAGTATGACGACCAGTCATCGAGAGTGTAACGAATGCACACCTAAACATGTTCATCATCACACCAAACGCATTCAGCTTCTCACGTGAACCCATCCGCTGCATCAATCCTGCTATCTACCGTTATCATTTGCGTTTTACACCGACGAACAGCACAGAACATTTCAATTAATCGCAAAAACAATCAAAAATTTGTGCTTATCGTCGAACGTAGAACAAGCTGAATGCACCCGCTCTCAATTCATCAGCACGAACCAAACAAATGAATGGATCATTAATCATGCATTCATCGAATTTTCAAACTTTAACCAACCTGTTTTTCAGGTGCCAGGTTGAGAACATCAACGATACCGGTAAGATTAGTGTCGATCACATCAACTGATTTTAGACAAACACACTGCGTTCTCGTTAGATGACTCACTTCAGCTTCTGATCTGATTGACCAATTGTTGATAATGAGTGACACTGTGGTGGAAGGCGAATGTTTACGCTGCTTCGACGATTCATGCGGATTAAATGCGAACATCGAGAAACTGAACATCAATTCGCTTTGAATTTATTTTTATAAATAATTACTGCTGCAGAAAGAATTCGAGTGGAGATGAATTATGGTAGAACGATTTGGCGTCAAGGAATCTTCTTCGATTAGAAGAGTTCAGTTTGAATGGCGATCACTATTATTAGCAGTCATAATGATATGCGGACTGTTAAAGAGATGAATGCAACTCACTCATCAATCCAGTCGTCTGCATCATAAACGGTCTTATGTTCAAGGTCGAGTCCAAGTGCATCGGCAAAGCGAACTGTCTTCTGGGGTCCTGAACTGGTCGGTGTGCGAAGTGCTGACCGAAGAGATTTGGTACGTGAGCTGAAGTGACGTGATCGAATATATGTGGACAAAAGCACTGGAATCAGTGTATGCACCACTGATAACGAATGACACTCTTCAACTGCTTGACTGAATCACTCAATATGACTGACATAATACTACTTTACGGTTCATTCTTCAACTCATATTCCATTTTTGGCATATAAACACTCAAAGTGTGCAGATGACCAAATAACAACCGATAATGTTATATGCTGCTGAACGGTGGGATACATGCGGAGAATTTGACTGATGGAAATATGGCGTTAATTCGGAGATGTATTGTTGAAATTAGTTGCAGTGATTGTGTTGAGAAAGGAAATATTTTCGATCGGTAAATTGCAAAGATGAATGAGTGAACACTCAAAAGTTGTTTGTTTCGTTTTGAAAGGACAAAAAAATGAAAATATTTGTTTGCAAGTGAGCGTTCTTTGGTCGAAACAAGTTTTTGACTTGATATCGACGATACGATTGATCATCATCAAAATGATATCGAATGGCAAAATGAATGAATTCTTTGATGATAAGAGAACGAATCTGCTAGCAGTGTATGCAGACAGATAGACTGGGTATAATTGAACAAGCATATTAAGAGAGCAGTGATATGGTGTTTCAAGTGGGTGACTGGTGACGTGACTTAATAAAGACAAACAATGGACACTGCAAAAAAAGTGATGAATTAATACATAAATATTATAAATACGTTGATAACAAGAGAGCAGCTGGTACGAGAGGGAATCACTCATTCATCACTTTTTTTTCAACTGGATAGAGGCATCTGACTTTATTTTTGCAAGATAATGTTGCATAAGAAATAAATGCTTAATTGTAAGTGGATGAATAAGCAGCATTTTTATGAATATTCACTGTTAATCTCGTAGTTCAGTAACGATGTTGAGCAGCAATCGATCATTTACAGTGTAAAAATGTCCATTTAACACTTCAGTTCACAATAATCACATTGCAGAGCTGATGTGCTGAAGGAATGAATGCATAAAATCGTAGAAACATCCAACAGTTGGTAGACGTACAGTTTTTTGGATGGTTTTCTGTTCACTGAGTTGTCATCTGAAGAAAAACCCGAATCGCAAGTTGAGTCTCTTGATGATGGAATTGAATGACCACTCGGGGAACACGGTGACGGTGAGTTGAAACCCTGAAATTTATATGTTGAACATCGCTTCGTTAAATATGACTGATACACCATTCGGTTTCAAGCAGAACTTCTTGCAAAGAACGTGACTCGTACTCGCGATGTGCCAATTTCCGATTACCTCTGGGCTAGCCTCCAGCCAAGAAACGAAGGATTAGTCATTTGAGGTTGAGAAAGAAGAACTTAAGGAGGGTGATACAGGATTAACGTACGTTATTTTCATTGTTCACATCACTATGAGTGTTGTCACTGTCGCTGAAAGGATGGCTGCTGTGGTTTGAATTTGTGATGAGCAACTTTAAGCCGAGTGGATTGCGAAGTTTAGTGGATGGATAAGTGTATGACGAGTAGATATTCAACGGGGACTGAGATAGGATCAGTTCGGATTTAGTGTCGTTTGGTGTTGACTGTGGTGCTGCACTTCTTGTTGCTGCTCCTGCTCGTGAACACGTGCAATCGATCGCAACTCGACGTCTCGTGGCCACTGCTGTCTCGATCATCATTGTTTGTTCATCCACTCGAACTGCTTCTTGCCTTGCGTCCGTTGATGTTACGGCTGAATGATCTATTAATTATCACTCTCGTATACAACATCAATACAGTACACGAACGAATTCAACAAGCATTTTTGTTGGATGCTCACAATCTTCTGTTATAGTATTATCATCAAATCCCTTATAGAACAACCTCCCGAGAGATGTGAAGACGGCATCGTCAAATGAGGAGAGAGGAGGGGGCGCTTGTAGAAGTGGAAAGTGAGAGATAGAAAAATTTGGAGGGTAAGTTGTGGTCGGCGGTATAATAGCTAGAAGTCCGGCTATCGAGTAAATCATCAAATTATATCAAACAGTGTTTACCACCTACGCCTACTCCAGCAAAGGCTTCATTCAATTCACAAAGCTTTTCAAAGTACCTTGAAGCAGAAGTAAGTTAAAGAGAATCGGTAATGAAAAGATAAACGAGCAAGTTTCCGATGAAAGAAGACGGGTTCTCTCAGTAAGAAAACGAAAAGAGGCGAACAAACCGCGATGTAATGAATGCCATAAATCTGTCCTCAAATCGAAAAGGAGAAGTAAGGTAGCAAAATCAGTAAAATCAAATAAATCATGAACGACAGACTGATTCGGCGACAGTGATTGCACTGGCAAGGTTGTGGGGTACGGAGGATCGTTATAAGAACGACGCATCGTTCCCATAACAGCTTCGGGAAGGTGTTGCACACAGAAGTGTCTAGTGTCTTAACGAGGCTGGTTATTATGCTGGGTTGGGCTAGACTAGACTGTTGGTGTTGTTGGAATATTGAGAAATGAATGATGAGATTGTGTTGAGGTGAGATTATTAGGACAAGCGAAGAAATAGATTAGATCGACTTGAAAATAATGAGAGGAGAGAAGAGTGCTGACGGAAAGGGAGTTCGTTGGCAGCGATAATAAAGAGTAGCTGATAATGACTTGATATGATATCGAAGTGAAGTGAACTACTGAAAGATATTGTTTGCAGAGCAGTTCCATTGTAAATTTATATGTGTACTGAATGATAATTGTTAATAAATGGTGTTGTGTGTGAGTGAGTGGGTGATGATAGAAAATTGAGAGGTGGAAAAGAGAAAAACGCAGATAGACGAATGGCAAATGATGTGATTTGTGCGTGCCCCTTGGGATGGCATGCATCAGAGTGATGGTATTGTGTAAGGTATGAAAAGAAGCATGGTGATCACGGTTTTAGAACGTGTATTCAGTAAATTAGTTGGATTGCATCGCTTGTCTGATTGCTGTTCGAAAACATTTTTTACAAAAACATCTTCAGTGACAGTGAGCAGTAGATCATCCCAATATGCACACCGCACAAACGAACAACCGACATACCAAAAACGTCATCAATTTCCCTTCAACATCTGAGCCAAACGCTCGTGAAACAATTGAAAACAACAAACAGCAAGATTAAGTTTTGCTTTTTGTTTTGATGCACTCTTACATCCAATTTTATTTCTTAATTACTTTTAAACTCACAATTAGAAACACATCAATCTTGCGGTTCGTTTCCATACAATCATTGTACTTCTGCGACAGATCTTTCGCTTGTCTGATTCTGCGAATTCAATGATCAATTCTAATCGTTGATAAATATTTACAAAACCTGTTTCGTGGTATTACAGAATGGACTCGAATGAAGGCTTTTCAAAAGCTTTATTGCTTAAGGTTAAGGTTAATCCTTCAACCAAAAATATGCGAGATGGTCCCTCGCAGCCACAACCCAAGCAGCCTTAAAACCACGAGGGCGCCTCCGGCGTGGCAGATTTTATTTCCATTTTCATGGACGACCTCCTTTTCAAAGGAAGACAGCTACCAATCCTTACGGTGTCCTCATTTCCCCATCTTACTTTATTATTAACGACATTTCTGCAGACGTGATCATTTCGAAGAGTTCATGATAGATTTAAAATTAAGTATACATTTGGAACGACCGAACGATGAATATTCTATTGTTATCGATGAGAGTGAACGCTAAGGATGCGGAAAATGAGATACATCACAGGTAAAAATATTTTGTTGCCTGCATACCTTCCTTACGGAGGTTTGCTTAGTAGAGGTGGGATGGATGGCACAATGACTTAGATCATGCATATGCAAACAGAAACCCTTCACTGGAGCTCAGTTCTGCAACACCTTCATAATCAAGTTTAAGATGAGTGAATTACAATTATGAAACTTTGCATCGGATGGAAATTAAGAGTTATTGACCGCTTACCCGATAACGTTTACTCTTTAGAAGTGTCACGTGTTCAAGAGCAGTTTGTTTACTCTGTCTGGCTTGATTGCATGTCTGTGGAAAATTTCGACATGATTTCAATACCAGAATCATTTCTCAGTCCCGTAATAAACCTGGCATGAAGTAACTTTAGAAACGCAGAAGTGTCACATACTCTTTTAAATCAAGGCATCATAATTACTAGAAAATTTATTCATTCGACAACTCATATAAGTAATGGCATTTTAAAATCTGGAAATAAGGTGTCAGCATCACTCAATATTACTGAATATGAAAGAACCGGGAATGACTGATTTGTGATTCACGATGAGCATGTTATTTAAATGCTATGTTTATCAAATCCCGAAATCTCGGGATTTTTGAAAGAATAATTTCTGAGGTCAGGGTCAGGATTGAGAAGTTGGAACCCGGGCAAATAATCACGTGCAAACGCGCACTAGATTTTGCGCGAATTGTTCTGAACCTCGCCAAGCAAATAAAATAGTACGTAGGATATAATAGCACTGGAGGATTGGTTCATCCAAGCTCAAAGTCACAACACTTTACTGGTGTTGACGTGAACTAGTTTTACGTTTTGCTATTGAATACAATTGATGGGTATCGTCGAAGAGACGGTGCAAAATTTTCGGTGTTGATTTCTATTTTGAAAATTGATAATGTGAAAAAACAAGTAACTTCTTGTTGATTCATTGTTTATTACTCAAGAGCAGTTTGTTTACTTATTCTCATTAAGAAGCCTCATTTTCACTGCATTCCTTAAAATAAAGACACACTGATAAACTGCTAAAATTAAATATAAAAACTCCCATCAGCAGTTGTATATTTGCATAACAATACTATGTTGCATAACATAAAGTCAACAGTGCAAGCCAATATAAAAATTTGGAAACAAAGTACGGTTTGCTTCCTCAAGTCTAGTTCGATTCATTCAAGTTGATCTTCAATCGCAGCAAAAACCTGCAATCATGATCATTTACTTAGTTTGTTCTCATATGTATGTCATTTCACTTGTTGATAAATTTCATTCAGCAGTTAACTTTATTGCATTAATTGCTGAACAATCCCTCATTTTGATGAATGTCACCTTGTGAATGCACTTTTGCAGACAAAAATGTCGTTAATAATATGTTGCATAACATAACAAATGACGTCGATGCGATAAAAGAAGCGTTTTACTCGACTGAAAAACGCTCATAAAAATGCAAGGAGCATGTACTGAGGAGGGCGACGAGGTTGATGAAAAAACGACAGCAGCTAATTACTTACAGTGTTACCAGTGAGGTAGGTGTTCATTTGATGTAAGCATGTCTATGCAAAAATGAAGTGTCAGTGATGATCACCTCGACGAAATCACATTTAATGGCACCGAAAATGATTCTTTTTGAAAATTACCAAAATCAGCAAGTCAACAGTGCAAGCCAATATAAAAATTCGAAAACACAGTACGATTTGCTTTCATAAATCTAGTTCGGTTTATTCAAGTTGATCTTCAATTGCAGCAAAAACCTGCAGTCATGATCATTTACTAAGTTTGTTCTTATACGTATGTACTTTCACTTGTTGACAAATTTCATTCAGCAGTTAACTTTTTTGGATTAATTGCTGAACAATCCCTCATTTTGATGAATGTCACCTTGTGACTGCAAAGTATTCAACCAGTTATCAATGATAATAACAACATCTATTCATGAACCAAATCAGCTTTATCACATCACTACAGAATGAACAATTCAAAGTGCTCGCTGAATTGCCAGCGATCGTCTCATATGACTAAAACGTTATCAGTGCAGTAGCTACTGATTATGTCATATGCTTTTCGTACGTTTTTTTCATTTTGTATGAACATATTGCTATGCAATGTGTTTATTTCGATATGTGACAAATGCTTTCATAAAACATGCTTGCTGCACTAGAATACTGTCTATTGTATAGTGCCTGACAAAACAAAAAGCATGTATCTCATATTCGAAATGAATCGTGAGATTAAGAAGATTCTCAGCTCACGATCAGTCATTTTAGCTAGAATCCAGCACATTGCTACAAGCAACATAGAGAAAATGTGTTCGTTTGAGGTTTGGTTATTGTCACTGGTTTTCAACTATATTCTATTGGTTTGAGTGTTTTGATTTGTACCATTGATGACGAAATTTTGGGATACTTCTGCGATATTGCGTTAGGGGCACCTTTTTGCAGGACGTCATATTCGGCTTCTCGACGTTGCATGTATTCTCTTTCCGCTCGTTGTCCCCTTCTTTTCATCTCCTCTTTTCTAGTTTGTGCATCACCATCATGCTCCCTCGGTTATAATGACTTTGACATTCACTTACCTTGGACAGTAAACGTCCTCTCACCGATGTCAGCATCTCAATCAAAAGCCTCAATCGAAGCAAGAGTGCGGATCAGGCGGAATAAATGATGCAGTAATTGAAAATAAATAATGATGTGAAAATATTTACAAAAAGAGTGATTGTGATTGAACTAGATTTAGAAAAACTAAGGATAGGTCAAGGATTAATGAATTGTGAAGCCACAGAAGATAAAATTATCTCTTAATGTATAGGATTTCAGGAATATGGAATAGGTAACGTATCAAAGTGAGAAAATGAGCCATAATGAATTTAATGAGTGAAAAGAAAACATAATAAACATAAACATAACAAGTGCAAAAGAAATAAAATCGAAAAATAATCGCGTTTGACTTGTTACAAACGAAAAAAGGAGAGGAAATGGAAGCGTGAAGAATTAAGTGAATGAATATCTAAAACTAATCTGTGTCGAATTTGAATCAGAAAATGTGGATGGAATGATATCAAAGACATTGGTATACCATTAGATTTCTAGCGAAATTTTCCCCCATGAATGGGAATCGAGCCGGCGACGTACCAACGACTGGTTCGGTGCACTATCTATGAGCTATCACGGGAACCATCCAACCATCGCCGAGTGGCTGTGTTGTGATTACAATCAGCTGCTATGTCGCGGGTTCCATTCCCGTTACGACAAAAAGTACTGATCGAAACCGAGTGAATGAAGGATCAAAATGAATGGAAATTAGTAATGGCATCCGACCGATGGTCGGTTGGAAAAATCCAACAATTTCGGTGGGAATTTCGACAGTCGGATTCCGACCGAGCAGTTTGGAAGGTCGGTCGGAATCCCGACTGTCGGAAATTCAAAATGTCAGATCGGTCGGATTCCGACCGAACGATCCCACAGCTGGTCAGAATTCCGAATGTCGGAATGATGTAAAGCCATATCAATCGGATTCCGACCGACATGAAATTTAGCTCGGATACCATCATTAATTGAAATGTACCCAGATAAGGGAAGGACAATTGTGATGGGACAGTGACTGACAGATAACAAATCGGAAACAGTTTGTGACTGAACGTTATCGGTCGTAAACTCACTGAAACGTTTGAAGTTT